CTGGCAGCTGTGTGGTGTGACGCTGTGGTGGCCTGGCAGGGTGAGGTGCGCTGGCAGCTGTGTGATGCAGTGGTGGCCGGGCACGGTGAGTTGCGCTGGCAGCTGTGTGGTTTGACGCAGCTGGTGGCATGGCACGGTGAGGTGCGCTGGCAGCTGTGTGGTGTGACGCCGTGGTGGCCTGGTACGGTGAGGTGCGCTGGCAGCTGTGCACTTCACAGATGTGCACCACACAATGTTCTGTTAATTATTATAATGCTGAGATATAATAATTTTCCTGGATCTTCAAATAAGTTTTCTGTTATTTAACAGTTCTCATGCTATAGGTTTCCTCTCAGTTAATTAATATCTACACAAGTGATTTTGTAATCTTTCTGTAATTTCTGTATATCTAATTTCTGTGAGTGTAAGGTTGTTTTTAAAAATGCTTTGTGAATTTCTCATTCTAAATTGTTTAAATATTAGTCTTTAATATTATTAATAAAAATGGAGGAATAGTTCATGTTCATCTTCTGTAAGTATTTTACAAAATTTTCTATGTGCAAACATTTTACTGCACAAAGTATTTAATTAATTTTCATATATTGCAATCAGTGAGTAAACATATTAGAGTAAACTTGATAATTGATATCTCACACACAAATCCATTATACTGGGGAGAATTACTCCTACAAAGTAATAATGCAATGCATTTAAGTTAATTATTTTTAATTTCTTACAAGAAAGTAGCAGTTGTTCAGGGGTTGTAGCAATTCTGCCTTGCAGTGCTGGGGCCACGGGTTCAAATTTCAGGCCTAGGGTGCTGTGTATAGTTTATATGTTCTCCCTATGTCTGCTTGGGTCTCCTGCAGGTGCTCCGGTTTCCTCCATAGTCCAAAACAAAAAACATAGTGCTAGTTTAATTGGCGTCTGGGCATAATCCTATGTGTGCATATATGCCCTACAATGGACTGGTGTCCTGTCTGGAATGTACCCTGTCTTGTGCCCGTTGCTTGCCAGGATAGGTTCTGGCTCCCCCGTGACGCTGAATTGGAAGAAGTGGTTAAAAAATGGAAGGGATTGGACAAGTAATTTCACACAGTAATTATATCGATACTACAGTACATAGATACCTAAATGATTACAATTTAACATGACTTCCCCACAACATTTTAATTATTAAAATCCCACACACATATAAATAGTAACTACAATGCAATAGTTAAAGTTTAGGAATTTCCTTACCACTGTATGACATAACTATAATATTTGATTTGATAAACAGTTTCAAAGGACAGTGCACAAAGCATATACCATAACGTGGCTTGTATACTTCACCATTCACACTATATCCTGAATTACATATTCAGTATGATTGAGTTTTAATTGAACAAGTATTTTAACTATGCTTTTTGTCCTTAAATAACAGGTGACCTTTTTAGCAGTGCAAACCATGCTACTTTATTAATCAGGCTACTTGGTTCCCATGGTTTCCCACTACAGCAGGATGGTACTGTATATTTCATGGTAACCATACTGTACCTACCTCAAGGTTTGTGTATTATACAAACCACTTCTGCACATTATACTACTATTTATACTGGCAAATACTTGTGTCTTTCATTGCAAATTGAAGATTTCAAGGAATAGAGTTTGTGTACATTTTCAGCATCAATTTTTCTGAAGGACAGATTTCCTTCTGAATTGAATTAATCCTTGCTGACTGAGTTTAGGTTGCTTCAGATCAAACAGCCCAAGTGGGAAATCATTTACTGGATTTATGGGCTCCCAATGTATAAAAACTAACTAACATTTACATGAGTGTTAGAAATAATCATGAAACAGTTTGACAAACTTGTTGCAAAATAGGCAAACTGGTGCATGTAGAGAAGACTCAAACTTACAAAAAAGTTTAGTGCCCTCTTCACTCAAACTTCTGAATGGTTTCTATCAATGGAAATTTGTATTTAAGGTAAATGTACTTTTTATATAAAAGTACATTCAACTAATATATCACCATATTTCTGTTTTTACAACATTTTATAAAAGTACAATTTTGTCAGAAACCCACAAGTTTCTCACAAAAATTGTATCAGAACTTTCATCGTTGTTTTTTGTATAAAATTTAAAAATAAAATCACAAAAAAGGCAGATATGCCCACAACATATTTTACGAGCTAAAAAGATAGGAAACAGATTTCAATTTTATTATAAGTGATACCCTCTAGTGGCTCTTTATAGTATTCTGTTCAAAGCCATGTACATTTTCAAGAAATTGCTGTTTTTATTTCGTACATCTTATTTTTTGTCCCGATTCGCTATAAAATAAAGTTAAGACAAAGGTCATTCGCAGCACAAAATGTTAACTGAAACTCAATGTGCTATTTTTTTTTTCAATTTGATTTAAAAGAAAATTTAAATGAATACAACTGAACAATAGAGGGCGTCGAGGAGTAAAGATACCATCGACACTTCCTGAATGTTAAGTGGTAGTTTAGACAGCAGATCTCAACATATCCAAGTATGAAATACTGTAGCTGGATTCCCTACAGTTAATACAAAAGCTTCCGAGAACAGCATTTCTTATTCTGCATGTCCATTTTTAATCTATAAAACACATGTTATTGTAGAAGATAGATCTAGGTTATAAGAGCAATAAGAAAACCTTGTTTCACACTAATTACAACTACCATCTTGAGTATGTTTTGTAATATAATTTAACTGCAATTTAATTTTAAAACACCGACATGTTACATGTTAAGTATATAAACTTCACGGTGTTCTTTATACTGTATGTTAACAAGAAGTACTAAAATACCGATGAAGCAACATTTGAATTGAATGTTTAAGGAAACGAGGGAGGGTGCAGTGTATGTGGATAACTGCATACAGATCACACGTACTGTACATGCATAGAACGAGAATAAAGATTCTTGCAGTGGAAGGTAAAAGACTAATAATATGTCGTAAATTTAAATTTTGAATACTCAGAAACATTGTCAAAATACAAATTCAAAACTATTGCACTGCCGTATTTTCCATTTCAAACACGGCTAAAAAATAATGCAAAATAAAAATCCCAAAGAGAAATACAAATCGTATTCGAGTAAAAAACAACAAATAAGCTTATTTCATTCACAGAATTTGCGAGGGGGTGCAGACTGAGATATTTCTCAACAGAATCAATAGAGGACGGACAGGGAGGGGATATTGCACAGGAAATCTACTTTCTAAGATTTGTAGTTGAGAAAAAAAGCTTACACAAATTAATGAAACTATTAGGTTAGCATATTCGAAACATTCGGGTAAAATTATATAGAGCATGCTTTAATGTATTTTTTATACAGTATAGATTAAACAGATGTGTTACTATTAAAGGGCAAAGCAATTCGGTATTCCCTCCTTCAAACTCTGCAGTCACAACAACGTTTAGACGCTACAATCCTATATCTAACGCTGTAACATTAAAATTCCATATCCATATTATCGATGATTCCTTTAATAGGAAGTATTTACTGCACCCCACCTCTTTTGAGAGACTAACCATTAATTTCGAATGCAATTTGACTTTTTTTTTCTTTTCCGTTCCATTTGGGCGTTTGTGAACACAAAAAATTGTCTTTGTTCACGTGGCGTTAAGTCACACTTTGATTCGTTTTGCCCTTATTAACAAGAAGAAAGGATAGCCCTAAAAAATACTCTTTCAGCAACCCTTTAAACTGAGCGATCAAGTTCAGCTCTGGTTACGTGCATCGGGATAGAAAGCGGAGGGGGTGGAGAGAGCAAGAGACTGCAATATCATTTGTGAATCGCTCACAGTGCTGCAGATACAGATTGCTAACACATGCAGTGCAAATGCAGGTGAAGAAGAGACGCGCAGATTGAGAATGCAGGACTTGGAATGGCTCGTTTCACTGGATTTTAGCTGCACATTTCCAGTACTTTCTCGGAAATACAGTTATTCATTGCTTAAATGTGTTGCTTTGCAGGGTTTTATGCCGAGCAATTGATGAAAAGTACAAAGACACCTTGTTTATTATATCACTGGAGGTAGACAGATTTCATTACTTGGATTGTTGTTAAAACGGCAGGACATATCATTTGCTGTTTGACTGCTGTTACAAGGTAAGAATACGGAACAGTTTTGTAAAGTATCAATAGTTTGGATTTTGCGTGTTTTTAAATACATCTGCACTGAGCAGACGTCTGCAGACTGAAGGGTCTTAACCACGAAACTGGGATTGGAAAAAAGGATACATATTTTGAAACGTTTTTCAAACACAAAGAGGACTTGGAATTTTTAGAATTGAAGAAAACGACTGAACAGGCTGTCATTTAAAAAACGGCATCGACTCCAGTGAAAAAATCTCAGCTACCGCAAGAGGAATAATCTATTGCGATATTGCTGTGTGTGCAGATTGCGGGTTTTGTTGAAAGAAGAAAAAAAAGAAGTGCATTTGAACCAGCGTGAGAAAAGGAATCATTGTGGTTTATATTCGGTAATGTGGGCTAAAATGTTTAACGTTTGAAAAGGTGTAAGAAGACGCATTAATTGTAAAGTCGGATGTGTTCTGAAACAGAGCACTGTATTAAAAGAAAAAAAAACATATTTTAAGTACCATTTTAATCTCTTTAGCGGCATTTCATACATTTTAAAGGCAACAAACAACCAGATCAACTGCAGAAAACCATGAGGACTATTGGTGCAGTGGACTATTTATGCTACTATATGATCCTCCTGCAGCTCCTGCTGACTCAGCCGGCTGCCAAGCAAGTGCTTCGATATCGCTTGGCAGAGGAAGGACCAGCCGATGTCCGGATAGGGAATGTAGCTGCAGACCTCGGAATCGTAGCTGGTTCTGGTGAGGTGACTTTCACACTTGAATCGGGATCTGATTATTTTAAAATTGATAACATCACCGGGGAGCTAAGTACTAATGAGCGAAGAATCGACAGGGAAAAATTAGCCCAATGCCAAATGATTTTTGATGAGAACGAGTGCTTCATAGATTTTGAAGTGTCTGTTATTGGACCGTCACAAAGCTGGGTTGATCTATTCGAAGGCAAAGTGATCATTTTAGATATAAACGACAACACCCCTTCCTTCCCTTCTCCTGTCCTGACTTTATCTGTGGAAGAGAATAGACCCATAGGCACACTGTACTTACTGCCCACTGCTACAGATAGAGATTTTGGCAGGAATGGTATAGAGAGATATGAGCTTATACAAGATAGTGGAGAAGGATCAGTAAGACGTGCTGGGTCAAATTCTGGGGGACGTACAGAGAGTGGTGATAGTTATTCGGGTAAGAGAAGATTTGATACCGAAGGTGCAAGCAGAAGCAGTGTTTTTGAACTCCAAGTTGCTGACACTACTGATGGAGAGAAGCAGCCACAGCTGATTATTAAAGGGGCACTGGATAGAGAACAGAGAGACTCTTATGAACTAACACTTCGTGTTAGGGATGGAGGTGATCCTCCAAGGTCTTCCCAAGCCATCCTTAGAGTTTTGATCTCTGATGTCAATGACAATAGCCCCCGTTTTGAGAAAAGTATTTATGAAGCAGACTTAGCAGAAAATAGCTCCCCTGGCACTCCTATATTACAGCTGAAAGCTACTGATTTAGATGTTGGGGTAAATGGACAAATAGAGTATGTATTTGGAGCGGCAACTGAGTCAGTACGCAGGCTCCTTAGACTGGATGAAAATTCAGGCTGGTTGAGTGTTTTGCACCGTATTGATAGGGAAGAAGTAAGCCAGCTACGGTTTACTGTAATGGCAAGAGATAGGGGTCAGCCCCCCAAAATGGACAAAGCCACAGTTGTTTTAAACATCAAGGATGAAAATGATAATGTTCCTATAATTGACATCAGAAAAATAGGTAGAATATTTTTAAAAGATGGAATTGCCAATGTAGCAGAAGATGTAGTAGTTGATACTCCTATAGCATTGGTACAAGTGTCAGACCGTGATCAAGGGGAGAATGGAGTGGTTACTTGCACTGTGGTTGGTGATGTGCCATTTCAACTGAAACCAGCTAGTGAAATTGAAGGAGATCAGAATAAAAAGAAATATTTCCTTCACACTTCAGCTCCACTGGACTATGAAGCTACACAGGAGTATAATGTTGTAATTGTAGCAGTGGACTCTGGGAGCCCCAGTTTATCAAGCAATAATTCATTAATTGTCAAAGTTGGAGACACCAATGATAACCCACCGATCTTTAGTCAAAATGTGGTAGAAGTGGCTTTTGCTGAAAATAATGCCCCAGGTGAAAGAGTAGCTACTGTGGTTGCAATAGATGCTGACAGTGGCAAAAATGCAGAAATTGCATATTCTCTCGATTCTTCTGTATCTGGAATCTTTTCTATAGACCCAGATAATGGTGACATCAGGGTGAACACCGTTTTGGACCGTGAACAGACGGACAGATATGAATTTAAAGTGATTGCAAAAGACAAGGGCATGCCTACTCTCCAGGGATCGGCTACAGTGTTGGTGCAGGTAGCGGACAAAAATGACAATGAGCCTAAATTCATGCAGGATGTATTTACATTTTATTTGAAAGAAAATCTACAACCTAACAGCCCTGTTGGAATGGTTACAGTAATGGATGCTGACAAAGGTCACAATGCAGAAATGAGCCTCTTTATTGAAGAGGAGGATGATATTTTTTCCATTGAAAATGATACTGGGACAATTTATTCCACCGTATCTTTTGACAGGGAGCAGAAAACAACTTATACATTCAAAGTCAAAGCAGTGGATGGTGGAGAGCCTCCAAGATCTGCTACTGCTACAGTATCTCTATTTGTAATGGATGAAAATGACAATCCACCTACTGTGACTTTCCCTAGTAACAATTCATACACCCTTCTGCCACCATCAAGCAACCTCAGAACAGTTGTGAGAACAGTTTTGGCTACTGATAGTGATACAGGAGTAAATGCAAATCTAAACTATAGTATAGTTGGAGGCAACCCATTTAAACTGTTTGATATTGATACAGCTAATGGTGTCATATCCTTGGTGGGGAAACTGGAACAAAAGCACTATGGATTGCATCGTTTGGTGATCCAAGTCAGTGACAGTGGTCTGCCTTCACAGTGCACAATGTCTCTTGTCCATGTATATGTAAATGAGACAGTGTCTAATTCTACTATTGTGGAGGCACAAATTGCTCGAAGCTTGGGTACCCCTATATCAATAGACATTGCAGGTGATCCTAACTATGACTTGGGTAAACAAAGACTCAGTATTGTAATTGGAGTTGTAGCGGGTATAATGACTGTGATTTTAATCATATTGATAGTCGTCATGGCAAGATATTGTAGACCAAAGAATAAAAATGGGTATGAAGCTGGCAAAAAAGACCATGAAGATTTTTTCACTCCACAGCAACATGATAAAAATAAAAAGCCTAAAAAGGACAAGAAAAACAAAAAATCCAAGCAGCCACTTTATAGCAGCATTGTTACTGTGGAGGCCTCGAAACCCAATGGACAGAGATATGATAGTGTAAATGAGAAACTGTCAGACAGCCCAGGAATGGGACGATATCGCTCTGTGAATGGAGGCCCAGGAAGCCCTGACCTGGCAAGACATTACAAATCAAGTTCACCACTGCCAACAGTTCAGCTTCACCCACAGTCACCAACTGCTGGGAAAAAACACCAGGCTGTGCAGGAGCTCCCCCCTGCCAACACATTTGTAGGAACAGGAGATAACATTTCCATTGGATCTGACCACTGTTCTGAGTACAGCTGTCAAACCAACAACAAGTACAACAAACAGGTAAGGGCTTATTTACAAGAGTTGTGCCATCATTGCTATGTTTAATGCCATCATCAGTTACATCAGGTCATGAATTCTTGTTATGTTTTTTAAAAGTCTTTATTAATCAATTGTTAGAATATCAATGTCTTCAGATAAGTTAAGGGTAATAGATAAATTATTAAATTAAACACAGTTGTGTGTGCTTTAAAGAAGGTCTGGTTGAACCTGAACTTAATGCTTGAATCGCAGTTTGTTAATCCACCAGCTTGAGATATTTTTGCACTTTCAGTGTCCTTTTGTGATTTATCTGTTTTCAAATATTCAGTAAGGCACACCAAAATATGAGCATCAGAGCTGCTACAGTGAAGAGGACACAAATGGTGCTCTTTCTCCCTATGATTTCACAACTTGATTGGAACATCTGGATGGGAGTTTACGTTCTTGTGCTCTAAGGTCAGAACAATGGCCCAGCTGTGAATTGAGCAATCAGATTTTTATGCTATAATTTGTAATGCAAAATGTTGCTTCAACAAAATAAGTTAAGACGTTTAAATATATGAGCCTTCTCCAAAACCCAATTATTAGAAACTTTTTTGAAATCAGTAAAAAGAATAAGGTCCATATATTATGAACTTAAACCTATTATTCCATATTTGCAAGAAAAAAAAACACTTAACTGTTGTTTTGTGTGTTTTCTGTGGCAGGCTAATGTATTATTAATACTTTTCTTAGATGGTGTAAGCAACTGCTGTTGCAGTGCTGAGTGCTGTATCCTGTATTTTAAATCATCAGCTTTTTAGCTTCTCTCTGTGTGTAAAGTGCAGATTGCTGAATAGATCTTAAAGTTAACAATGAAGTATTTCCGAAAGATGATGCACTGAGTGCAAAGAGTGTTGTTTTTTTATGTTTTCTGTGCATGTCTCATAAATAATTGACAAAGTACTTTATATGATGTAGTGCAGTCTTTTCCATCTAAATGCTAGAGTAATTTACTTTTATATATTTTCAGTCTTTGTGTAGGTTATTTTTTAACTTAATCAGTGATAATTGTAGTTATGGAAAAGTTAACCATTTTATATACATACAAATCCAGAATTATATGAGTATCGGATATTTATATATAATATATGCACTACAATTGAATGCATATTGTGATAGAAAGTAAGGAGTTCAGTATGCAAATTAAATGCATTTGTACAGTACGAATATCATTAGACATAAAAATCACAATCATTTTCATTTTCAACACTGGATTTTTTTGGGGATTATTTTTATTGTTTTATTCACAATTTATCAAGAATATTTGATGACCCCTTTTGTTTGATAGGATAGCATTATTCCCATTATTATTGTCTGCCTTAAACAGTGCCCAGTGTTTCTAAATGAACATTTTTGATAGTATTTAGCAAGTGAGAAGCAAAATGCAATGATAATAAATATGTTAATATCTTAACTTATGAAATGTATAGTCATAAAACACTTTTCTAACCCTATGTTAAGGGTTTCTCATTGCCTTACAACTGATAGCTTATACAGGTATGTATATATGGGTAATGTTACACACTCATTTAAATTTTATGCATTATTAATTGACTTTGTTGTAACTCATTGTGTGATCTTTTTTTGATATGGCAATTAATAAGGACTCACTCTACTTAGACTTCTAGAGACAATGGAACTTCCATATTTTTCTCTTACCTCTAGTTCTACAGATGGGGTCACACTCAGCCTGTGCAATCTGAAAATCTTCTGAAATATATAACTGTTATAGGCTGTGGCACATAAATTATAGCTACTGTTGTTCTTGGGTTTAGATAAAATATGGTAATGCATCAGTTTATTTAAAGTTAATTAACCCATTGTAATCATTATTGAGGGATTTTATTAGATTACTTTTTGTTCATACAATCTGTTTGCTTTTAAATAGTAATGCAATTTAAGTTATTCTCCCAGCCTAGGTATGCACATGTTTTTATAAGTAGATATTGATCTTATAGATAGATACTTTATTGATCCCGTGAGGGAAATTGCAGTGCAACAGCAGCTTAATACAGACAACACAGCAACAGTATAACGAATGATACAATAAAATAATACAATACATACAATACAAACAGTACAGTGAGAAGTGCACTAAGAAGAGTTACTCACAGTCCAGAACACACAAAGAACAAACCAGAACAGAACAGTACACAGAAAAGTTGTATTGCTCAATATAAATATAAAATACTAATTTTAATATAAATCATTGGTGTTTTAATTTTTTGATATTTACATTTGCATGAGTTTTTTTTTAAAAAAAACCTTATCATCATTAGATCATCACCTTAGATCATTGTATCATTTATGTTAAGCACAGTGTTAAACAGTAAAAACAACAACCGATCGTTATGTGCTATCTTTTATTTTTACTTTTTACCTTTATCATGGGGACATGGGGAAGTTCTGGGGGATTTCTGCATAAGGTAGTGTTGGCTCATGAATCCATCAGGAGTGCTAGGATAAAATGTGATTGCATTTTTTGTGGTGGATTTTACTTCAAAACTCAGTTCTCAGGAAGTTATTATTAGGTTGGTTACTGTTATTCTCAAAATATACTAAGCAAAATTTTAAGTTAATCTTTTTATTTCTCCTAAATATACAGGCAATTATAAATAAACAAACATATACACAATGTAAAGCTATGGTTTGTCATTTATAAAATTATTTACGTTCATTACAATTTAAGGAGGATGAATCAAGGCTTTGAATGTTCATTACGAAATGGAAAACACAAACACACACAGTGTCCTAGTATATATTGCCATTTACCAAGTTTCATATGTAAAATGATCTGGTTGATTTCTCTAAACATTTCCTGTTAATGCACTGAAGAAAGACTCGTACTTTTTAGTAGTATCCCAAAGGAAAGGCTGAACTCTCCTGAATGCCCTACTGGTTTAAGGTTACTACTTTTCCCTTTACCCTTATTTGCTGATTTGAAAGCTCAGGTTTATTAATATAAGATGCACAGGAAGAGTATCTAAGCAACTGCTTTAGTTTTCAGCATGACGTCTTTACCTGTCAAACATTTAAATAGTCATTAAAGGTAACCAAAAGCAGAAATATAATATGGTGTGCCACAGTGCAGCTGTTGAAAAGAAACCTGATATAAATGACATTTCTTGTGGAACTTGGCTGTTTCCTTGCAGAGCACAATTTTCTGGTTTGTTAAAACACAATAGTATTTAAAAGTATAATATGCTATTCACTGGGCGTTTATGAACAATACAATATATACATTAGTAAGATGTTGTTTTCTAATGATATTTAAGAAAAGAGATGCCATGTATTGTCTTATTTACACTTTAGTAACATATTTATCCTTTATTTTTTATATTTTCTAAAGATTTATACACAGTAAGATGTGTGATATGGGAAATGTTTAAGGCTGATTGTTTTCTTATGGGGTTTGGAGTCTATATGCAACATAAAAGAAAGTAAAAAAAAAAGACTGTTTAAGCAGATACTGTATTTGGAAAATAAGTGCCAATATATGCCAATATAAGTAATACAGACCAACAGTATTTAGCTAAAAATTTAAAATTTAGACGTAATTGTTGTGATTTGCTAGGGCATATATAAATTCCTTCCTTTTATATTTCATTATTTGAGGACTGCTGGTTGTAAGGTGCATAATATTATAAGTTAAACTGTTCTCACAGGTATTGTATAATTACATAATCTGATTATTTCACCTGTATGTAAAGAATGATTGGTGTTTGTGTGCTATATTTGATCAGTCTTGTATTTTCAGATTTTTATTTAGATAAAAATATCAAACATGACAAAACAGTTTCCTACCCTTTTCTGGATTCCACAGAGACTGCAGCATTTAAGAAGCCATATACTGCAATGCAAAATTGTAAGCCTACACTGTGGTGTCATTGAGCTTTTCTGCTAAGCACCTTCCAGCAAATATTCTTGTTGTTAAATTCTGTAGACACAGCAATGCTATACCAAACAATATGAAACCTTTATATATAGAGCATTCCGCAGCAGATCATTCACCACACTTTTTTCACAACACTATTTAAACTTACAGATAAAGCATAATGCAATTTGTGGCTAATAAGCTCAGTAGGTCAAATTTATGAGAGGTCAAAATATGACCTGACACATACTCACCAATTTAATTAATATTGTTAGATAAACAAGAAAATAAGGACTTTCTAAGGATCACGGAGCTCTTGACTTACTAGATTGATATAAATCAATCTTACAGAATGATGATCAGTACAAGCAGTGACATCAACTCAAAATTTGGAAATAAGGATAGGCTTATGCCATTACTGCTGTGGTGTTACCAACATATCAAATTCACAACAAAGGTCCAGTAAATTTTTATGATATTCCTAAAAGTAAATTTGACTGCCTTTTAAAAAATAAAAGTTTTTTCCATCCAATTCATCCACCCTGTTGGGAAATCACATTAGTGTAATTGACCAGAGATGGATGACAAATGCTGGGCACCACATGGGAACATTCTTGCTGTGTTGAATGCTCTTATTTCACTTCATCTTTTCAACAGTCTGCAAGTCTCAGGATCAAGATTTTAAAAGTCTAAAGAGACAGAAAAGGGGTCATTGAATGTTTTTGATTTTTTGCCTTTTTCCACTTGGTATGTGTTATTCCCATAGTTAGTTATGCGATCTGATTAAAATGAAATAATTGTTATGGATATTTCACAGGACAAAATGCTGCCACATACATATTATGTTTATATTGTACATGTCTTCTATTGGCAGGAATACTGTTATGTGCATCTCTTAAAATAAACCAAATTGTATCTTATTTAAATTATATTTTTATTTAAAAATGAATTGATTTTCATTCAGTGTAGAGTTTCATTTCAATAGAATAATAATAGTAATAAATAAAAATTAAATGAGAGTCAGTGCAAGGATGTACAAATGTACATGGTGTCACTTGGCCTCAGCCTGTGAGACACACTGATCAATCTAGAAAGACAATCTGAG